GGAGGACTCCTACAAGGAGAAGACTCTCCAAGATTGGGAGATACAACCAACCTAATACATACAAATAACAAAGGGAATTGGGCAAAATGAGGAGACAAAGGAAGGAGCAAGATAAAACCCCAAAAGAACGAAGTGAAGTGCAGATAAGCAATCGACCCCGTAAAGAGTTCATGGTAATCATCATAAAGATGCCAACAAACTGGGAGAAGAGCGGATGAACACATTGACACGTTTAATGAAGGGTTGGAAAATACAAAGAAGAACCAGAGCTGAAGCATACAATAACTGAAATGAAAAATGAAAAGTACACTAGAAGGAATTAACAAGAGATTAGATAATACAGAGGAACAGATAAGTGAACTGGAAGACAGAGAGGTGGAAATTACCCAACCTGAACAGGAAAAAGCAAAAGAATTTTTAAAAATAGGGACAGTTTTAAAGACTTCTAAGACAACATCAAATGTACTAATGTTCACATTTTTGAGGTCCCAGAAGAAGAAGAGAGAGAGAAAGGGGAGAGAACTTACTTGAAGTGATAACAACTGAACATTTTCCTAACCTAGGAAAGGAAACAGACATCCATGTCCCAGTAGCATAGAGAGTCCCAAACAAGATGACCAGGGCACACTATAATTGAAACAATAAAAATTAAAGATAAAGAGAGAATCTTAAAAGCAGCAAGGAAATAAAACCTTGGAAAAAACAGTTGTATACAAGGGAACTTCCGTAAGACTGTCAGCTGACTTTTTAGCAGAAACTTTGCAAGCCAGAAAGGTGCGGCATGATATATTTAGAGTGATGAAAGGAAAAAAACCTAAATCAAACCTAAATACTCCACTTAGCAGGGCTATCATTGAGATCTGAAGTAGAGATGAATTTCCCAAATGAGCAAAATCTAATAGAGTTTAGCGCCACCAAACCATCTTTACAAGCCATATTAAAGGGACTTCTCTAAGTGGAAAAGAAAGACCACAGCTAGAAATATAAAATTACAAAAGGAGAAAATCTCATTGATAAGGGCAAACATACAGTGAAGGTACCCACTACTTATAAAGTAGGAAGGTTAAAAGACAGAATCATCTGTATCCACAATAAGTAGTTAAGGGATACACAAACACAAAGGATGTCAAAAACATTGGTGGGGAAGAGTAAAAATGCAGTGTTGTTAGAATGCATTTGAACTTAGGAGATTATCAACTTAAAATAATCATGTATGTGTAGGTTGCTATATATAAACCTCATGGTAACTACAAAGCAAAAATTGATAATAGATACACATACAAAAAAAGAGAAAGCAATCCAAACATAGCTCTAAACATAGTCATCAAATCACAAGGGAAGAGGGGGAAGGGTATAGCTCAAGTGGTAGAGCACACGCTCAGCACCCAAGAGGTCAGGGGTTTGATCCCCAGTACCTCATCCAAGCAGAAATCAATGAAGAAACCTAATTACCTCCCCCACATAAATCACAAGGAAAGAGCACAAAAGAAGAGCAAAGAACAGGGGGTAAAAAAAGAACAGTGAAGGAAACTATCAACAAAATGAAAAGGCAGCCTACTGAATGGGAGAGTATACTTGCAAATGACATACACAATCAGTTAATATCCAAAATATACAAAGAACTCTTGCAACTCAACATTAAAAAAAAAGCAATTAAAAAACAGGTAGAGGAACTGAGTAGACATTTTTCTAAAGAAGACATAAAGATGGCTAACAGGCACAAAAGTTGCTCAGCATCACTAGTCATCAGAAATGCAAATCAGAACCACAACGAGATACCACCTCACACTTGTCAGAATGGCTATCACCAAAAGACAGCAAATAACAAGTGTTGGCGAGGATGTAGAGAAAAGGGAACTGTCGTACACGGTTGGTGGGAATGTAAATTGATGCAGCCACTATGCAAAACAATACGAAGATTCCTCAAGTAATTAAAAATAGAACTGCCATACAATCCAGCAATTCAACTTCTGGATATTTTTCGAAAGAAAATAAAAACACTAATTGGAAAGGATATATGCACCCCTATGTTCATTGCACCATTATTCACAACAGCCAGTGTATGGAAGCAACCTAGGTGCCCACTGACAGATGAATAGATAAAGATGTTTAGATAGATAGATAGATAGATATGTAGTTAGATATCCATTAAAAAGAATGAAATCCTGCCATTTGTGACAACATGGATGGACCTAGAGGGTATTGTACTAAGTTAAAGTCAGACAGAAAAAGACAAATATATGTTTTCACATATATGTAGAATCTAAAAAAACAAAACAAACAAATAAACATAAACTAGCAGAGTCATAGATACAGAACAAATATTTGCCAGAAAGGAGGGCTGGTGGGATGAGTGAAATTGATGAGGGAGACTGAGGTATGGCTTTCCACTTACAAAATAAATAAATGATGGGGACGGAACGTACATCGTGGAGAATATAGTCAATAATAATGTAATGTCTTTGTGTGGTGACAGATGGTAATGAGACTTATTGTGGTGATCACTTTGAAGAGTATAGAAATATTGAATCACTATGTTGTACACCAGGAACTAACATAGTGTGGTAGATCAACTATACTTTAAAAAAAAAACACCCAAACCAAATAAACTCATAGAAAAAGACATGAGATTTGTGCCTGGTGTTACCAGAGGAAGTGGATAGAGGGAAAGAGAACTGGATGAAGGATATTCTAACAGTACAAACTTTCAGCTATAAGATAAATAAGTACTAGGGATCTGATGGACAACATGATAAATAAAATTAACACTGCTGAGTGTTACATATGAAAATTGTTAAAAGAGTAAATCCTAAGAGTTCTCATCACAAGGGAAAAAATTCCTTTTTCTTTTATTTTGTGTTATATGAGATGATGAATGTTCACTAAACTTGTGGCAATCATTTCATGATGTTGTAAGTCAAATTATTATGCTGTACACCTGACAAATGTATATCAATTATATCTCAATAATACTGGAAGAAAAAAATGAATTCCTTCTTTTGGAGATAATGAAACTCAAACTAAAAAGGTTAAGCGAACTGTCAAAGTTACACGATTAGTAACTATTAGAGAGCCAACGCTAGCATGTAGTTCTTTGCATTTCTTATTGCATTAGTCTTGGTTCTCCAGAATTAGTCATGGTTCTCCAGAGAAACAGAACCAATAGGATGTTTATTTAGATTTATTTTAAGGAGTTGGCATAGACTATTTGCAGGGCAGGCTAGCAGGCTGGAGACCCAGGGAAGAGTGGATGTTGCAGTCTGATTCCAAAGACTATCTGGACTTTTAAGGATTCCTCTTCCTTGGAGGACCTCAGTCTTTTTGTTTAAGGCTTTCAACTGATTGGATGAGACCCACCCACATTATGGAGGGTAATCTGCTTTACTGAAAATCTACTGATTTACATGTTAATCTTATCTAAAAATTACCTTCCCAGCAACATCTAGCCTGGCATTCAACCGAACAACTGGGTACCTTAGCCTAGCCAAGTTGAAAAATTAAATGTTCTAGGATCAGAAAGTCTGGTGTTTTATTTTTAGAAAGTCTGATTTTGAAGCCTGCTCCACCTCTTAATAAATGTGTGGCTTCTGAGGAATTCTTGACATCTCTGAACTTTGAGTCAAACAGGGATAATAATACTATCTACCTCAGTGATGGAGCCAGAATTTGTGGGACCTGAAGCGTAATAGAATTGGGAGAACTCTCTTTAAGAAAGAAACACAAAATTATGAAGGCGCCATCAGTAACAACTCTGTAAATTAATTCAGAATAAATAAATCATGAAAACTACATGATATTTAAAAGTTAGCAAATTTCTCAAATATCACATAATATGGGGGAAATTACATATGTTTATTAGTAACTGTAGTACTTTTATCTTTTTTTGAGTTTGCATAACTGTTGACTGCTTCTTCATTTGACAATTTTATAATAGCTTTTTCTATAGAAAGAATAGAAAAATAACTTAGATCATTCTCTAGCATAGTTGGTGGAAAATTGCTTTTTTTTTCTTTTTGACAATTTACAGAGTTTTTTTTCAAATTCTCAACTCTTTACAATGTAATTTTTAGGATTGTTGTCAAATTTGGGGAAAACACTATTGAGTTTCTTTGATATCTGCGTTGTAAGATTTCAGGGCATTTCAGGTTTTCTATGGAGTGCATGCTCTTAAATATTCTTTGAATTGACCACATTCATAGTATTCCTACAAGACACTGCATACTGGAGTGGCCAGCACTAATGTAACTATACACGGAAGAGATTATAAAGCACAAAAATATGTTCCAGTTAATCCAAATCTCAGAAGTGCCCACTGCCACTTCCTGGTTATAATCGGAGGAGAAAATATGACTGGGGAGCAGTTAAAATGGAAAGAGACAGAGGTCTTAACTGAGGATGGCTGAAATATCTAATTTTGGCAAATTTAACAAAAATATATAAACATGTGAAGATAATGCTAAAGCCCTGTTTTTTTGGAAGTTACCTATATTAGTAAGCTTTATTAGCTTCCCAGTAATTCCACCTCTGACCTAACTCATTGGTATGACTTTGGGTTTTGGGGGATTTTGGGGAGAGGTTTTTTGGGTTTTTATTTTTTTGAGTTGTGAAAGAGTTAAGGCAGATTTAGGAAATTGCCTGATATTGGAACAATCAAGCGTAACTGAAGAATGACAGTTGACAATTTTTAAGATGATTGATGGATATGTGGGGATTGTTCATTTTGCTTTGTGTGTTTGAGTTTTTAAAAAGTCATTTGAGATAAAAATATACATATATATTAAAGGTTTTAGCTGCTATCTACGCTGGAATTCCTCTGAACAGAGCATAAAAATAATTCCTAAGTCACCTCAATAGGAATAGTTCTTATTAACAATTTGTATTTTTAAGCAAAAGCTTGTTGTTGACACAAAAATAAACAACTCACACTCATGAATAACTCAAATTATAAGTCAACCGTTAAAAATACTCTAAGAGTGCTAACATAAATTTGTTTCTTATAGGTAGTACAAGTACCTGAAACAAAAGCACCTTCAGTTGTCACTCTGACCTTGGACCTTGTGGGTGGCCCTGCAGCCTCCCTGGCAGTGATCACAGAGACAGGTGCGGGGACGGCTGGGGACCCTGGGACATCGCAGGGCTGTCCTGGTGGAGCGCGAGCTCGCTGAAGAAGCTGCATGTGGATTCCTCCCTCAATACCAGTGATGCATCAGACCAGAGAATTTCTAGCAGTCTTATAAGCATGCATTATGGTTTCTTGGAAATAAGCATTTTCCCCTCCCAAAGTGCTTCCCTTTAGTACAGCTAACTTAACAGGATAATCAGAGCTCTGGTCATAGCAACAAAAACTCCAGCCCCTAAGATTCCTCGTTGTCCTAATTCATTACTGTATATTTACTATTACCAATGACTTCCCCTTTTAGTTTTTGGACCTTGAGCATAAGCACATATTTTAGAAAAGTACACAGTGTGATAATCAATGTTCACAAACATGAAAGCGTCAAAATCAGCCTAAAATCTGATAATCATACCTAACCAAGTAATAGTGTTTTAGCAATAAAGTTATAGGATTATTCTCTTATGTAAAAATGTATAAAGTAGCAATCTGGAAAAAAAATGAGAGCTGCAAGACCTTTTTTATTTTAATATGCAACTATTCCACTGCACTCCTGAAAAAGAAATAAGCCCAAGCTTTGTGATTGTGAAAGTAATGCATCAACTTTTTAAGAAGTCTTTTTTTACATTTGTTTACACGCTTCTAACTTTTTATTGCCCGAAGAATATTAAATACACCTGTGTAATTTAAGACATCAGTACCATCTACAAAATCCTGTATGAGATACAACGTCCTATTGTTTTTGGTGGGTTATATTGCTACACTGCTTAGTTTTTACTGATTTGTTTTCACAGTATCAGAAGAGAAAATAACTGAAAACAAAATCATATGGGTTTAACAATCTCTCTCTCACGCACACAAATATCATTTTGTAAATGAATGGAAGATAGAACCTTCTTCATCAACAGGCTTCTCCTTCGATGTCAGGTTGTCACGTGTTGACAACTCGGCAACACCAAGCCGAGTTCCTTCAGTGCACAAAGTCATGTACAAACTTAGAAAGGAGGATGCATGTGATGGAGAGTCCGGTACTGTGGACCCAGGAACATTCCATACGTGTTGCTTGATTATAATGTGGTTGAACAAAATAAATATTCTTCAGGAAATAACTTGTGTTAACATTTGCTACTTTTACTTAAATATAAATAAATCCCACTGAAAACATAAAGGCATTTGCTTGTTTCTTATTAATGTACAAAATCCAGGGAGAAAGTCGTCTTCTAGGCTGATGACTTCTTCACTCAAACATTGAGACATTACCATTATCACCAGACTGTCTTTTTTTTGTTTGTTTTTTTCTTAATTGAAGTATAGTTGATTTACAACGTTGCGCTAATTTCTGGTGTACAGCATAGTGATTCTGTTATATATATATATATTCGTTTTCCTATTCTTTTTCATTACAAGCTATTACAAGATATGGAATATGGTTCCCTGTGCTGTACAGTAGGACCTTGTTCCCACATTTTTTCTTATAAAATCACTGATGTTGTACTACAGCCTTTCTTGAATGCCTGTGTTTTAATGACAAGGTTTTTCCGGGTTCAGCTGTCTGCAGCTGGGTCCTGGGTGGTGGGCAGGCCCTCTGTGGGCACAAACACCACTACTGGCTGCAGTGGCTCATCTGAGACAGTGTTTTGTAGCCCTGCTCCCTCGGGTCGCCTGACCGCGCCGAGTCTGGAGGGACTTCTGGCCCTGGCCCTGCATCCCAGGTCCCCCAGCAGCGGCGTCCAGAGGACACAGCCCTGCACCCCCAGGCGCGCCTGCACCTCAGGGAGTGTGTTTTTGCGGGATCTCTCTGAGATCCGCTGCTGGGAGCCCTCCAGGTGCCCCCGTGCCTTTTCTCTCTGCACCCTGACCTCGTGACGAGTGCTGAGGCCGGCTAACCTCACCCTCAGCGCTTAGAGCAACAGCTTCTAGCCTCTGCATTTCTGGAGGAGTTTCTCCTTCTCAGGAAGTGCACTTCGCTGGTACTTTCTGAGACTGGCCACTCAGGAGGCCCCCTTGATGTTCTTCTTGCATTTTTTGCCCAATTTAACGCCTTTTAGCAATTTTTAAAAGTTTTTGGATTCTGCAGATTTCATCTACTGCCTATTTTGCTAAAAATAGCAGGGGACAGGAGGTTTTGTTGTTTCCATTTCTCCTTGCTGCTTTATTTGATTTCTTATACTACGGGAAAGGAAGTAAGACTACTCGCATGTTCTTCCTGGAGACTTAAACCCAGTGCTGCTGGATGGGTCACTGGCTGAAATACAAGACTCCCAGGTAAATCTGAATCAGATGAACAGCAACCAAATTCTGTTTTAGTGTAAGTATACCCCTTGAAATATTTGGGATATACTTATACTAAATAAATACCCATGCATCTTAAATCTTAATTTACCTGGATGTCCTATATTTTTATGTGTTGAATCTGGCACCCCTCTGCCATCAAGAGTCTAATGTAATTCTGATTCTCATTCTTTTATTCAGAATATGTTTCCCCATCCTCCCCAAGGCTCTTTTGATCTTTTCTTTCCGTGATATCTAGAATTTGATGAAAATATGTTGTATATCCTTTTTCATCCATCATGCTAGGTATGTGATGGATCCTTTCAACTTGGATACTTGTAGCCTTTAATTCTGGGAAACATATATGGTGTATATTTTATATGTATATAGTACTTATTTTATGAAAAATATGTTTATATTATTTTAATTCTGGGAAATACGTTTGGGATATATTATATATACAGTATATATTTACATATAATATATGAAGTACATATAAGTATATGTAATAACTACAAGATACATAATACTATTATATAATACCTGTATTATATTAAATAGCATTATTACATAAACCATCAGTGTCCCAGTTGGTCCTGGTTACAATCATTCCACTGATGATAGTGGAAATGACACATGCCTCTCTGACCCTCCACCCAAATTCTTCCTTGCATTGTTGCCCTTGGGATTTATTAATTTCTCTATATTCCTTTTAGCAGGGAGTCAGGAGAAAAATGAACTATCACTCAGCCTTCTTTTTTGTAAATTTCCTGCCTATTTTCATAACAGCCACAAATTTATTCTTCTAGATGAATTTCTAAATCCTTTTGTCAACTTTCCACTCTCAAAAAAAAATCCTGCTCAAATTTTTGTTGTGATTATACTTAAGTAATTTTCTAATTTGTAGAGAATCTGTGTATACAAAATTGATTCTTCATATCTAAAAACAAAGTCAGCATTAAATTATAGTTTTTCCAGTCCTCAGTAATCATTCACATTTTCTCATGTAGATCCCACAGAATTCTTGTCATTGTAATGCCTAGGTGTTGCGTTTTGTTGTTGCTATGTAATTGATCACTGCTATACAGAAAAACTGACGTTTGTGTGTCTTTCTTTTTTAAGCATCTACTTTACTACATCTGTCTTTCTCTATTCTTTCTTTCCTCTTGGTTTTTCCCGGCCAAAAAAATTTATTCAAATAATGATAGTTTTGCATCCACTTTTTAAAATGTTTTTGCTATTTTCTCACCCTTTTTCATTGCATTGCTTACAATTCCCAAAACAATTTTTTTTTGGGGGGGGTAGTTTATTTGGTTGATTGGTTTGATTTGCATACATTGTGAAATGATTACTCAGATAGGCTCAGCTGTCATCCGTCTTCTCCTGTAGATACAATAAAAAAAAAAGAAAGAAAAAAGGAAAAAATTTCTCCTTATGATGAGAACTCTCAGGATTAATACTCTTAACAACTTTCCTATACATCACACAACAGTGTTACCATGTTGTGCATCACATCCTGAGCACTTATTTATCTT